GAAGACTGACAGCCTGGGAGACCCTGTGGGCAGTTCCACTCTGTCCTCTAGGGGCGCTGTGGGTCAGAATGGACTCCAGGCAGTGGGCGTGGTTTGGGCTTTGCTTCCATGAAGACTGACAGCCTGGGAGACCCTGTGGGCAGTTCCACTCTGTCCTCTAGGGGCGCTGTGGGTAGGCTCTAGCACCAAATGAGCAATGCAGCAAGCATTTCCCTGTGTGCCCTGCATCACCTCCACAGCCAAATCGAGACAAAGAAGTCATTCTATAGAAAATCATCCCGACTAATTAATGATGGGTCAGACCATCTCTACTTAGAAAGCCCTAATGAGTCAGTCAGGAGTGCCTGGTGCTGAAACGGTAATGCCGTGGCTGCTGGTGGTTTGAGTCTGCCCAGAGTGCCTTGGAAGGAAGGCCTGGCAGTGTGCGCCCCAAATCGGCCGCTGGAAACCTCGTGGAGCACAGTTCTACTGTGACGCGCCTGGTGTCGCCATGAGTCGGGGTCAGCCCTGCAGCAGCTGGTTGGGTTTTCTTTGGATGAATCAGATCTGATAGGAGGGACAAGAGGGACAACCAGACACTGTTTGGTCCCCCTGGAAGAACACCCCTCAGAGGCTTGTGGGCACTGGGTCTGAGCCCCATCAGGCTTCTAGCCCCAGGTGCCCACTCCCAGAAAACGGTTGTGGGAGGACTGTGCTCCGCTGACCTGAGCCGGCAGTCGGCAAACCCGGAGCGTGGGAGCCTCTGGCTGGAGGCCGGTCCTACAGCGGAGAACTTGTCAGGGACTGGAAGGCTGGAGGGGAACCTTGGATAAAAAGACACAAGATGGTAACATTGAAAAACGGGCAAAACTGAGCTATGGTATGGATGGGTGTAGTCCTCATGATAAAACAGAAACACTGACAAACCACAGCCCGTAAAGTCACGAAAGGCAGTGATTGTTCGCGTCGGGATGGGTTGGGGCTGAACCTTGCAGGAGCTTCTGAGGGCTAGCAGTTCTTGCCCTTGAGAGAGATGGTTATAGGATCTTGGTGTTATGTGCCATTGAGTCGGACCCGACTCACAGCGACCCCTCCTTGGGTTTCCGAGGCAGTATCACTACGGAAGTAGGATTGCCCAACCTTCCTTCCAAGGA